TTTTACCGTTTCGTTTTTACTATTATCTCCTTTCTGTTTCATTCGCCCTTTACTTTAATGTTTGCGCGGAGGCGACTCGCAATATAAATGATATATTTTTATAATTATTTATAATACCTTACCACCTTGACCTTTTTCTTCAATGGGAGGAAGACTGCTTTATCTCTTGCAGTACAAGGTTGTTTATTAGGTAAACATGCGATGTATAAGCGAACACGCAAACACATGCGGTTGTAAAAATTTCAAACGTGTTATAAATTACTTACCGCGTCAGAAAAAGCAAACTATCATAAAAAGAAATAAGGAATTCTAACGGTGTAGTAATTAAAATTAAATTGTCAAATTTTATAATCTTGCGTGAAATCAAAATTGATATTTTTAATAAGTCGCTCAAATTCTGTTATCCTTCGTGTGCAACGTTTGAGAATTAATTGAGACACGTAGAGTGGATATCTTTCTTTAAAAATTAAACGGTAACCGGAAGACGATTGGTAGGAAGCTATAGCTTTTCAGGAGACCTTGTCTCAGCGATAAATTATTTAGAAAAAAAAAGGGAAATACAGATATGGAAAATGTGTGAAAGAGCGATTATGCTTCACCTTGTACTTCTTCCGCATATCTATATTCAGACCATCCGGCCACACTCTCTGTCGCTGTCTGTGTTCACCATTATTGATCCATTACAGCTAACGTCCAAGTCCTGAAACTTTTACACTTCCACTGCCAAGGTAAAAACTAATAAAAATCTCCTTAGTTCCCCTTTTTCCGACCTCTTCGTTCTCCATCGGATTTCACAGAATTTCAAACCTGGTTTGTGCGAAAACCGCTACCGAGTGCGGTCGAGATAGTTTGACAGTGTCACAAGTTTGTTAAATTGAAACCGTGCGCGAAACGATAGAGAAACCGAAATGAATACAAGATCTCTTTAATAGATAATCAATTGCATTCTTTTTAAGATTATATTCAGTTTAGGTCGAATTAAAAAATATCATGCGTCTTAATTTCAAGTTCTTCTGAATCCAGTTACATTTGTTTAGAATATAATTTTTAAAACAAGAATTACGACAAATTATCCATGTTATTATTCTTCACTCGAGAAGTGATAAGATTAAAAATCTTCTGATAAATTATTACAGATAAGGCAAATTTCATTTTTCTTTCCATCGACATGCGTATTTGTTGCTACATAAAATTGATTTTTTTTTTTTAAATTAGTCTAATCAATAATTGTTCATTGCGTAGCGCCATCATTGTTGAATTCAAATTTGTTAATAAACATTGCAGGGATACGGCAGGCTGCTGTAAAATTTTCGCATCGACCGCGTTTATTCTCGGGAAGACCGCCGAGATGACGCTACTCATTCAAATTCGGTGCCTTCAGTATCAACACTGATAAAATATGCCGCAAAATTGAAATTTGTTTACTCAATTGAACCCAATATTAATATTATTGATATTTAGATAAAATATTTTGGGTTCTTCGCCAATTTTAAGATAGATATTGCAACAAAACATTGCAGTTCTATTTAGTATAATAAAATACGAAATGTGTATAGTTGAAATTATTATTATATTTAAATTAATAATATAAGCAATCGTCATTAGTGTTTGAAATATTTTCTCAAAGCAATATTAATGAAATAAAACGAATCTCGTTTGATATCTCTAATACGTAAACGCGCATCCTCGCAAAAGTAAAAGAGGGTAAGAAAAAAGGAAAACTTGGCAAGTACGGACCACTGCGGTACACGATCTTATTGATCCCCGAAAAAGGATTAGTTGTCGAATAAATGGAGATGAGAAGGCAAGCAATGGCTCAAAAACATGTTTTCCAACTTTTACGAGTTTATAAACTCATTAGGTTGACAAATTTTCATCCTTCAAGGACAGCAACGCATACTTTCCTCATCTTTTAATGCGATAGTTATTCACGTGACGTAAAAATCAGTGATCTGTACGCGTAAGTCATAGGAATTACATTGGAATTCTGTTTAAGCCAGTGGGTGTGATCGAGCAGGAAATAATTTAGCAATGTTTAATCTGCAAACAAATAGCTGCTACGATTTACAGAAATATATGAGGTTTGATATTTCAAACAGTAGCTATATTTGTTTCCTCTCAGTTTGAAGCAAAGGATCGACTGAGAAGAGGTAATAGTAAGAAGTAATAAAAGTTTAAACTCTACAATTGCATATAAACGTGACAGTATCTTGGTTTCAGTGGGAAGGAGTTCTAATTCGGTGAACTTTTTAAAATTGGACTCTTGTGGAGAGCATCTCGAAGAAGTTGCGGAAAGAACAGCGGAGCGTGTCTTTCATTTGCAGATTAGATCACAGATAGTGGATAGAGAGATTATAGATCGTGAATCGAGGGGATAAGAGGGGAAATATCGAGGGGGACGATTACTATTACTGGTTTTCGGTTCGGTGGTGCCCGCATTGCGTCGTACTGTCCTCACGCCGGCGCCTTTCATCCCTTTACGTTTCGCCTCATCCTCCTCCTTCCTCCTTTTTCCTCGACAACGCCCCTTTCCTACGTTTTCACCATCCGAAATCTTCCCTCGCGTACTCCAGAATAATCACAATAAATATCGACGCTCCATTTAGATTTCCATTTCAGTTCCAATAAATCAGATGAAACGTTCCAATCTCCAGATTGTAAATTTCAATCTCTAGCTTATGAATTCCAGCTGGCGAAATGATAGACAATATTTTAATGGACATATAAATGTACAAATTTTATTAAGGATACGCGACTGAGATCAAATTATTTTCTGTGGTTTAACAATAGTTTCAGAATTCTGCGCTTTAATACATTTTTACACGTAAGATAGTATCCTTGGTGTCCTTGAAAAGGGAGAGGATTGTAACTGATCCCAGTGTCCGACCCTCGCGAGTCTAATAATACTTTCGCGAAGTCGAGAAAGTGAGATGAATAAAAAAAGCTCGCGTAAAAGTGCACGCGAGTAGGTGACGGTATCTCTTGAGTTACTCGGGTTTTCACACGGCAAGAAATCAACCCGCGGGCGAATTTAAATTAGCTCCCGGGGTTAATTGAATTCTGAAATCGATTCGCCGAGATACCGAGACACATCGGAATCGGAAGTCGAAGCGAAACGGTTCCGACAACTCGGTGACAAATTATCTTTCCGCTAGTTTCGATAATTGCTTAATTTACCACTGGGACGACTGATTTACAATCTTCGCGACTCGATTAACCCCAGCATTGATTCCGATCTAATTACCTCGCTTGATTCTGGATTAATCTTCTTAAGTTTCTGTTTAAATAAAAGAGAATTGTAGGGAATCGTGATTAAATGTTTTATAACAGTGCTGTCACTGTGTACAATTCAAAAGAGCCGAGAAAGATTTAAAATTGGGAAGGATGATCTAATAATCCGCGCGAGGGCGGGGCGTTAAGAAAAAACGAGAGGGAATTTAATTTTTTGCTGGCCAGTAAGGATAACTATCTATTGCTGGCGATTTTAATCTCGCTATAAAAACTCGCCGCGACCTCGTTAAAAAGCCTTTAAAAAGGGAGTTTTAACGAGGCACGCGCAGTATTTGGGTTATACGTTTACATGAAATAGGCAAAATGATAATTAACGTTGTTAATTAAGATTAAGACTAACCGCCTTCGTTCCTGTTTCAGACACGTATGATAGATAAGTACGTCCCCGGGAATATGCGAAGGGAACATGATAAGGTAAGAAATTGTCTCATTCGTTATTCGTTCTTATTTGCAATTACCTACGAGCTATAATTGAGCATCTTTATGCATTTATATAAATAGATATCTTAATCAACAGATGAACCGTGCAACTTTTTCTTGTTCTTTACAAAATTTGGGTAAAGATATCATAGCTAATTATAATTCGTAGGATTGATACGTCTGGTGTTTGGCCATTAGCTGAGATAGAGAGGTCAAGCAGCGACATTTTTCGATTAATCGCTCTCGACGATCTAATTTGTAAGTCCTTAGTTACCTTGGCAGCGGCTGCTACGTCATAACTTCACTTACATGTCGTCGTCGAAAACGTACCACGTACTTACCGCGATATTGATTTCTTTAACCGAGACCCTCTCCCGAATTCAAGTGTTAAGAACCTTCATTATAAACTTTCCCACATTGAAAATGTTTTTGACACTAATTTTATTCGACGAGAAGAGTCCCATCCGAATTAAAAGAATGGCCTGTTTCAGAGTAAAGTTTTCATAGCGAAGGATTATTCGTACCCTCGTTTTACATGTTTCCCGACGCGGACACGCTTGTTCGTAACACAGATATTCCTGTTGACTAGACCCATCGTAAAAGCTTTAATCACAGTCCCTTTTTATCTCTCCATATTGTCCGCGAACGAGGAACAACGTGGAACAGGGAGATGTAAGATCATAACTCCAACGCTGGCTCTCTCTTTAGTCGTGGATTACACTACTACCGTTTAATCGCGTGAAATACGGTCTCGATTACAATGCCCGCGGATTCGCTTGTCCGGGAACGATTTATAGCACGAATTCCGCTTCATCAACCACTATTGTGCTCCTCACGAAATAGTACCAGAAGAGTCTGCCCGAAGTATCCCCCTGAAACACAGGAATATTTCAAGTATCCGAAAGTGATCGTAAAAATGACAATTACGATACGCGGAGTTCTCCAATGTTGAAAACATAAAACGTGTGGAAGAATATTAACAACGATCGAAAGATATCTTGAACTTATTTTAAGTATTCTGACGTGTATGCATATTTTTATATAAATGCGTAGAAGGGTCGGTTTTATTTTCTGATTTATAAGCAATTTTTAAAAACGGGAATAAAACTGATGGAACGGCGAAACAGTCTGAATATAAGATAGCAGTAGGTTTCGCAGATTGCCTCGTTTTTTTGCTTGTTTCCCTCGTCATTGTGTACGCGTCATTTTCCTCCGACTTTTCCCAGGGAAAACGGTCATTGTTGTCCGTTCTTTGCGGAGCACACACCCCCTGTGGATATAACACGTTCCATCTTTCTGTTACTCTTCCTTTTCTCTGTTTCTCCTCTTATACGTCCCACCGCCTACCCTCCTCCGGGTCCCCCCGAACGTAACGTAAGCGTTCATCCTGTGAACCGTCGAGAGAGAGGCAGAGGTAGCTACGCGGAGAAGTCCTCCAGGTGGGCGGAGATCGATAGAACCGCGACCCAGCTTTACCCAGGGCAGGCCGGGGAACTCACCAACACCAGCCTCTGCTCCTATCCATACGCACACCCCCAGAGATGTGATAATTGTGCGTTAACAAAAGTAATTAACCTTCCTAGTGATTAGAAAATCAATAAAGAACGATCGTACCTCGGGTCGAGCGCAATTTCATATTAAAATACAACTAATCAGTTTTTGCTCAATAGGATCAATGAAAACTCTAATTACTCGTATATTTCCTAGTTTAAATGAAATCGTTAAGAGCTTAATATATAAACCAGTTAAACTGAATTTGCTTTATTGTCGGTTCTTGGAATAGAACTTCCGGCTCAGAGATGTGATAATTCTATCTTAACAAAAGCAATCAATCTTCCCTGCAATTAGGAAATTAATGAAGATTGAACAAACTTCATATTTAGTACAAATCGTATGTTAGAACAGAGCCAATCAGCTTTTATGGCAATTGTTAAAGCCAATAAAAAGTTCAATTACTCATATGTTTCCCAGTTTAAATGAAATCGGTAAGAGTGTAATATATAAACCAGTTAAACTGAATTTGATTTATTGTGCGTTCTCTGGAATAGAATTTCCGGTTAAGAGATGTGATAATTCTTAACAAAAGTAATCAATCTTCCCTGCAATTAGGAAATTAATGAAGATTGATCAAGCTTCATATTCAGTACAATCGTATGTTAGAACAGAACCAATCAGCTTTTATGGCAGTTGTAAAAATCAATAAAAAGTTCAATTACTCGTATATTTCTTGGTTTAAACGAAATCGATATGCACTTAAGTATAAGCCATTCGGTGATCAGACTGAATTAGATCACTTTCGTTAATAATTGTAGATTCTTTAAATACCGTTCATGGTTGAATTTTATGATTCCTTGAGTAAAACGAAGGACGATGCGATCAGTTTTGTTTAGCGGTTTACGCGTGTGGATCGTATTGATAATGTTGTTAGCGGTAAAACGGACGAATGTTGGTCAGAAAAATCGATAATCCCAGGTTGAAAGTCGTCTCGCGTGCGGTTCACTCGTTACGCTACTATAACTATGTATGTATCACTAATCTTTCGCCTTTTCCTTCCCCCTTTAATTTTCTCTTATTCTTGACTCTTTGTTATTCTTTTCTCTTTTATTACAACAGTTTATCGCCGTTCGATCAAACTTTTCCCATCAATAATAATCACTGTATTTGATTTAAAAGGCTTATTTCCTATTTACTTTATCTCCCGAGTTATATTTAAATTTTGTAATACACTCGGGATAAGATCGTAGCGTTTATATGCAAATTTATGCGATAAACATGTTTCGATGCATGCTATTATAAAAAACAGATCGTTTCAACGATAAGAACGATTTTTAAGGTCTGCACTAAATATAGTCCTCTAGTGGCCTTATTAACACCGCCAATTTTCCCTTCGGCTCTTGCTGGTTCCTAAGCGCGGGAAGACACGCGCAAATTCGAACTCGTCGACACTTTTACACAGCGCAAGTGCAGTTCACGTTGGACGCATGCGCTGCCATACAAAATCTCGATTATGACCGAGAATTCAAATGGGAATTCGTCCGTGCTCGCATTTAGTTAAAAGAGGCGAGGAGAAAATAATTATAAAGGGAACGGCGGGCGACTGTTGGAAGTACTTGGAAAAGTAATTTGAAAAAAGCGCCGGCTCATTCAATTGTACGTCTCGTTTCGTTCCGTTTCAACGAAATGCATAAATGTATTAACGAGTTCGCGTGTCCACCAGCCGCGGCAGCTAAATGGAAATTTTCCATCGCATCGGGGAAATTGCGCACTGCGTCTTTCGCCCCGAAGAAAATTAAATCTCGATTCACTTTCAAAAATGCACTAACGAGCTCCTCTTTCGGGTCGCCTATCTCATTACCTTCACCGCGCACGTTTACGGGCTCGAAATCAGGTCTTTTTCGTGGCCGGTGGATCGATCATTCTATGTCAAAGGAGAATTGATCTTTTTAGTCTATTCGATTATTCATCGGACAGTCGGGACAATCTTTTGTCCCACTGTTTCATAGAAATCAGTGTTTTGCACTCACGACGCAGTCGTTTCGTAACTAATGTCTACTATTTATTTGATATCTCAGTTAAATTATTAGATACAGCTAATTATTCGAAATTACTCAACTTCCGGCTTCGCAGTGAATTGCGCTTCTTTATTCTTGGTGCACATATTATGCGTCTTATGGCACCGGGCACCGTTGAGAATCGATTAAAAACAGAAACTGACGAATCTAATTGCAAAACGATAGAGCAGTAAATATCTATCGATTAACTGGCTGGCGAAAACTCCGCCAGTTGGTCGTATAAGTATAATCGGGTCACGGATACTGAAATCGAGTGGGACAGCACTCGCTATTGTTCCTCTCCTCGTTTATACATTCCCCTCCTCGGGGGGTGCGGGAAGGGAGAGAGAAAAAAAAAACGGAGGAAAGTCGCGGTGCATTTTTGTCTGTATGCAGGCACGCGTGCGTGGCGCGTGGTTTCTTTTCTATCTTTTAAAAGAAGGTTTAGGCTACTGGAAACAGCGAACAAAGGGTCGTGTTTACGTTTACATTTTTAATAAAGGCCGGCAACTTTTTTTTCAACAGATACCGACTCTTTTTCACGGCGATAGTTACCTTTCAAAAAATGTTTACTCCATTTATTTCTCCAGTCGATGCGCAGAGTTTCGTTCCCGGGTCATGGTTCATCTTTTATTTCTAACGAGAACTCGGGCAATTTTTTATTTGACGTTTACGTTTCACGATGGTCGACGGATACCATCAATCTTGGCTTATATTCTACAAGATTTTCCTAGACGCAAAGCTCCCTTTTGTACATCGAATCTCGGGCGGGTCGCTGTTACTCTTTGGGCGAATTGAAGATGATGGAACCGCGTTTCCCGCCAGGAAATCTTATTGAATTTCTTATGCGACCGGTTCGCGATAGCGAAACACAGCTCGCGCACTCGTGAGATGTTAAAGAAAAGTGAAAAGGAAGTAGGAGAAAATGGTAAACGACGCGGGCAGCGCCGTTCGGTGGTGGAACATGGCGAGAGTGGGTGGGTGGATGGTTTGGGTTGGCCAGGGGTTGTTTTATACGGCGGAGAGAAGGAGGGACGGATATAGGGGTGGGGACCCGTTAGCACGCAGGATCGGGTTCAGGGAGAGCCTCGTTCTTTGACGGTAGTCGCTTCGCCGCATTCGTACTTATATCTACTCTACCTTTTACGCGATACACGGGAACACGCGCTCGGTCTGAGTTACGTACACATTTATTATCTTCTCATAATCGTCTTGTGCCGTCCGTTCGTACTCGTCCCCCGGTCGGTTCTCCCTTTAACTCGTCGATCATCCTCCCTTTCGTCCGATTTCCTATCTTCTCATCGGTCTTCAATCTTCTGCGCCGTTTATTCGCCAATTTTCCCGTTTGTTTTCTGGCTCGCCAATCTCCTTTCCGTTTCTCTCGTATTGCGTGCACACATCATTTACTCCTCTCAGGTTCTTTACCCTTACACCCCCTCCCGTGTTCTCGTTCTTTCTCTTTCTCTCTCGTCTCCGTCTTTTACGTGGATCTACTCCGTTCGCGATCCTGGATAGGCCAGTTTCTGATCGATTTCACGATTAAAAACACTTCGGTTTCTCGCTTGTCCTTCGCGTCGAAGAAGAACGGAGTACGCAAGCTCGTTAAACGGAAAATGGACACACCGTTGAAGCGAGTCGATGGTGTTCCTTTTTAGAATAGAACGGAAACGAGTGACAAGAATAAGAGATGAAAAGGAAACAGAGAGGGGAAAGGAGAGAGGGAGAGAATCCGACGGTTTCGAACCTTAAAAGGCGCTAAGAATTGTTCGGCTACAGCTTTTTAAAAAGTGCAGTTGATGTTGCATTCGTAGTGGCACGGACAATTTTATCGAGTGTACATCCCGAATTTATTTTGTCCACGTCGTGGATTCGTTTTTGAATTTCGTGGGGTCAGTTATAGAAATTGTTCTCGTTCAACAGAATGCTCAGAGTCGTAGGAACTCGTTACTCATCTTCGTTGCACGCACGCACGTCTTCCAATTAGGGATGAGGCATTATCCAATTGGAACTGTCCTATCTTGATAATTTATCCTCGTATCATCGATTTCCTTCGCGTGTCAGTTCGGTTAATTACGCGGCTGGTTTAATTAATGTCGATACGTCTTCGTTAATCGTAGGACGCGTGGTCACGGTTAAGCGGGATAAATAAATTATGCGTACGCGCAAGGGATAGCATCCACAGAGGAAGGGGAGAAGGGACGAGAATATTTCGGAGAAAGTGTGACGTGAAAAATCAAAGGTGGGTGTTTTATCTGGAAAAAGGAATCGCGGTTTCTTTTCCAAAAGTGACCTTGTGAATTTTAACTTTGTCAAGTGTCGTTCCGTCGTTCGCGTCGTTCCAGTTGATACGAGGCGGAAGAGAAGCCTGGAATTGATAAGGAACCAGTAATCGAAAGATATCACTCGGTAAGATGATCGAAACGACGTTAGTTAAGTCTTAAGGATTCGATTCACCACTTCAAATTGAAAATCGAATTCTATTAAATATAGTAGATAATCAGTTTATTGGTTTGTTTACAAATTTTGTTAGAGTTTTGTCTTTAATATGCAAAATCTAAGAACCAGGACTGTAAATTTTATATAGAATACAATATTGCCTTTTTAAATATAATTTTCATATTTGGTAATATATGATCAGAGTTAATTTCTATAATAATCCACTTAATCTCTTCTAAATTAAATTCCTTAGAAAAGTAAAATTCCTTAGAATTGATAATGGCTATTACTCCCACGGTTGAAAGATTCTTTTAGCGATAATGTTTCTCTATTTTTTGCTAAATGCCGGATTCATAGATTACTTTTATAAAACGATTAGAGGCGGAATTTATTAGGACTTAATGCGTTTCGCCCTAGGCACGAAAACACTTTGTCTCAACATTTTTTGACGTATCGTCTATTTATTCAAATGCGGTAGCTTCTGAAGCGGATACGGCAATAAATAATGTCCGTAACGTTTCTGAGTAATAAATAATGCTCGTAAATCATGAGTACGCCACGGCGTGTTATGTAAGGAAAAACGCAACGAAATTAGAAGCAAAAATTAACGAAAGATATCTGCCAGTCTATGAAAAATCTTTAAATTAATTGACTCTCTCCGGGTGTGAGAAATACAATGAGGATCGTCAAGTGCTATGAAAAAGAATTTCTCATTCATTGTGTCGAAAGAAGACAAGCCGTATCTGTTACGTGAAACTATTAGGGAATTCTGTATTTATAATTCACAGTTGAATGTACTGTGCCGTCTTATTTTTATGATTGTCACTGTAGATTCAACGAAAGTAACATTTGTAAAATGTCAAGAAAGGACAAAAGGTGCTACTATACAACGTGTGGGTGTTTCGTATATTCCACCTCCCTTTTCAAGTATTTGGCCTATTTTTGTTACAATCTTCGCTCCGAGATCGTCTACGAAACTAACTTTAGAATATCTTCGCTTTGGTATTATAAAAACTGTTGCCCAAGAATTTCTCTTGGCAGATAAAAATATACAGTCTAGAATCAGATATATTTAAGAACAGCTCACTGTCGTTCAACTTTTATTATAAAAACCGACTGTCAAGCGTTGTTTCCTGTTTTAAATTGTTTCTTCGCTCGGATATTGAATTCTCGTATTGTTTGAAATATTTATAGAACCATTCCCGGAATTTATTCCACGTGGTTCCTTTCGATTGAAACAAACAATGATCCCGTATGAAAGATTTATCAGCCGCATGGGAACCGAGCACAGCATTTGTTAAAAGGTAGAATCGATACCCGTCTCCTTTCGATCATCATTATTATTATTACTATTATCATTATTATTATTATTATATATTAGATCTGGGTCAGAAGTACTTGGCCACTCAGCGAAATTAAAGTTACATTCGTGTCACCTATTTCGGATTCGATTTGATTGGATATCTAATCAGAGAAAGGTCGAGGGAAGCGGAAAATCTCTATTATGTTCTTTAAGCATCTCCTATTTTCTCCTCATTGTTCTAGGAATATGTGTTAACTTATTTGATACAAGTTTAATCGAATAAATAGCCGAGGGGCAGTCGATTCTCCGTTGACATAGATCGAGGCTAACTTTTACTTAAAAAAAAAAAGAAGGACGAGGTCTCGCGGTGTGTGCGTGTGTTGTGTTAATTATGTCCTACATTTACTCCACGCCGAGGACTTACACGATGCACCGTGTGTTAACCATCGAGTCCTATCTGACTCAGAATCTAGTCCGGTTATTTTGACCGCCTCTTGTCAATCCCCTACTCCTGTTCTATCTCTAATTGTTACTAGAACCAAATCTCGTTCCAGAGTACCGTATACTCGGCAGAATAAAAATTTAATAAGAAATATCCTCTTTGAGGAAATTAAGTTATTTTTATTGAAATTAGATTCACAATTCTAGCAGACGCTATCAATTTTCACTAAAAAGATCTAACTCTTACTTTAATTATTTAAAACAAGTAATAATTATTCGATTCAGTAAACAATTATATGTACAACGTGACATTAGAAGTGTCTCAGGCAGAAAAATCGTTTGCTGTAGTCCCGGTGTATCAAACAGCATTTTTCTGTGTAACGAAGTGAAAATATAGAGAGCGAACCGTTGGTTTCTAACGCGATTCCTCATGAGGCATAATTGTTAGGCGAGTCACGAATCGCCAGCTTCGACTTCCTCCCTTCGGACGTGGAAAATGAAACCTCTCTGTAAACTCGTAGCTACCTGACTCCTTTCTCGAAAATTTTTCATTCGACACGCGTATCGGCCTGGCTCATTACGACATTACTTTAGTTCTCTGTTCTTTTACACCACGATCCTCTTTACAAAGCCTTCACCTTCTCTCCCGTGTACCCTTTGTCTCGCTCGTCTTTATCCTTCTTCATCCGACAATTATATCCTTTGTCAAATCGATAAACGATATGCTAGAAAACTCTTAATACAAACAGGAATTGTTTGATCTTTCGGTCTCTTCAAACATCCTTTATATAGGAGTACGTTTTATGTACAATACTATTACTTTGATACTTAAGATCTATTGGGAATCTGATACTGATAGAAACATTTTTTGTTTGTTTGTTTGTTAAAGATCACAAAATGGTGGGCTTCGGCAGTAAAGATAAGCTCAGCAAAGAGGACATGGATTTCCTCAAGTCGCACACGAGGTACGACGAGGCCACCATAAAGGACTGGTACAAGGGATTTAAAGTAAGTTCAGCTCCGTTCTGTGGAAGCGTTATCTTCTTGATAGCGAGATGGAAGAGATTTACGAATGGTTTCTCTTTGCTTTTGGTTGCAGCAAGATTGCCCTAACGGTAGACTAACGCCAGCAAAATTTGTTGATATGTATAAAACATTCTTCCCATCCGGAAATGCAGAGGAATTCTGCGACCACGTGTTCCGGACATTTGACATGGACAAAAACGGGTACATCGATTTTAAGGTAATTCGTTCTTATTTGCATTTTCATTTAAAATGAGTCAATGTCAACATGGATATTCTGGTCACTTTCGTTTCTGCAATTATTTGTACATAAGTGTTTATCGTTAAATAAGCTCAGCGGTAAATTGATAAGACTTTATTAAAAGTATGGTGGCAGCTGTGGCATACGTTTTAAACGAGCGTGGCGAGAAATTGTATTCATAGCTGACTGTGTGTGTGTATGTTAGAATATAAAGGATGACGTGAGGCTGTCCAAGCATTGTTACAAATACAATACGCTTCGCTAACGCGATATATTCTATGGATCGTTCCATATTCGCTGCGAATAATAAACTCGATAAACTTGATTTTATGAAAGACCAGGCCTTTGTGAACGATGTGTATATGTATGTATATATATATATATATAATACCTAATAAGTTGGTATAATATCAACATGCCCGTACCATTGAAATTGAGCCAGCGATATTATCAAACTTAGAATAATGCCTTGTCCCGGCTGTTTTATGTATGCAAATACGTTGCCAAATGGCATTTAAGAAATAAGCTTTTCCACCGCGTGGGCGGGAGAGACTTTTCTTAGAAGTGGTAGCAATTTTTGGAAACTTTAGAGTTGTTACGTAGATTTCGAGGGAATTTCGACTGAACATCGCGGTCTCGAAGTATCGCAAAGTCCGAACTAGGTCAGTCGACGCCTGAGGTAGACAAACGAGAAGAAGGAGAAGGGTTTTTTTTTTTAAAGAAGTCGGCCTCTCTTTGCCTCCTCCTGACCTATCAAGTGTCGCCACTTCTTTCCGTATTGACCCCATCGGCCGGTTCTCTTTCTGTATCGCTATTATTGCTTCTTCTGAACAAGTTTTCTACCTAGTAGGTCATACTGGCACTCGCACTTGTTTCATGATCATCGCAAATCCACACCCTGTTCGATTCTGAAGAAATTCGCGAGCCACGGCATTAGAAAAGAGCATTAGATCAAAATTTCCATGTACAGTTGCTTCGCGAAACAAAGCCCCGATTATCAAACCACGTTTTCCATATGTTGTTGCAGGAATTTTTACTGGCCATTGACGTAACTTCCGGTGGCACGCCGGAAGAGAAACTGAAATGGGCCTTCCGCATGTACGACGTCGATGGTAACGGCGTGATCGATATCCAGGAAATGACGAAGATCGTCCAGGTACTGTACGCTTCTCAATTAATCAATTTCAAGTCTAATCGACTAATAATAATTCGGAAGTTGGAATTTCTAGTTAGTCTCCTGTATATTCATTTTTTTATCGGCTCAGAGGTACGTTAGAATTAGTCGACGTAGATAGCAGTTCGCGGATTAATCAGATCGTGCCTTATGGTAATCATTCTTCACACGTTTCGCTCGATGGACGGTAAATTAAAATACGATTCGATGGCGTGCGGTATCTGGGACACTAATTACAGGAATCGAATCCAATCGCAAATCATTCGTCTTTCAATCAGAATTAAAAACAGATCAGAAAAATGTGCGCGTAGGCACTTTAAAAAAATAATTGTAGCACTTCGATTATCTGCTGTTATTATATGGCAATTTTTTATTAGTATAGGTTCGTTCTTTTAGAAGTTGTGGTTTTTCAAAAATGTTTCCTGCTTTTGCGCAGGGATCGTTAAGTAGGCGGCGTTTTCTGTTTTTTTTTTCCAGGCGATATACGATATGCTGGGAGCTTGCTCGAGCAGCAGGCCGGCGGATAGCGCGGAGGAACGGGCGAAAAACATATTCACGAAGATGGACGAGAACGGCGACGGTCAGCTGACGGAGGAGGAGTTCCTGAAGGGTTGCCTTCAGGACGAGGAGTTATCGAAGATGCTCGCTCCTTAATTCACGTGACGATTCGTTGATAACGCACCGTTATCGTAAAGAAAGATTCTTAAAATAACCGACCGAGCAACAACGATCAGAGAACTATTCCCCGAATGCGCGTCTGTGTCTTCATTAAACAATCGCACACGCACATACGCGCATATGTGATTGCACGCGAGAATGTAAAGATAGTTAAAAGTACGCGTAGTTACTCGAAGATCTCTGATAAAAGGCTTATGTGTCCCAATCGCAAAAAAAAAGAGAGAAACTAAAATCATTTTCTAGGAACTGATTTTCGAGTTAAGTCCATTTTCGAATGATTCGGCGAATTAATTTGATCGGAAGACGTCACGGAGGCAAAGATGACTATCCGTGGCGACGTAACAGTGGATATTAAAGAATATTCAATAAATATTTTAGATCCCGAAATGAATAATATACGGAAGATACCACTTTCGACCATTACCATTCTCTGTAGTGGTACATAATTTTAATGAATCTCGAACGAGATTACACGTTCACAAGTAAAATTAACATTTAAGCTGGACATTAACCACGGCAGGGCCTCGGTAAATTAATAATCGAAGATCATGGCCCGGAGAGAAACGACTAACGCGTTTTCTATCGATAACGATCGTTTGTTCTCAGTAATCATTAACGAGATTAAACAAGGTCCTATGTCCTATGAATCGACAGCGGTTATTAAACATTAAACGGGGAACCGACGGTTTCTTAAATCTCTATTCGAACAACGATGACAAAGTGCTAGAATTCTGTGACGTGAACACAACGAACCGGAAGAATTGAAGGTGCTGTCGAATAGGTAGGACGAACATTACGATCCAGATTCAATGATTTTACGTTTCACGGTGTACTTCGACACGGTACGTACTCACAATTAAATTAAACCCTGCATCGCGTTTTATAAAATCGCACCAGGCCAAGTTACCGAACTGGTCGCCGATTGATTGTTATTCAAATATGTTTTATTGCTCGGAAGGTTTATAAACAGAAAGTGTAGCTATGTGTGCAATTAATTAAACAAATTACGTACTCCGTAATGTTAATGTAAAGTAGGCTAAGTACATATCATTGCCTCTTCTTCAAAAACGAATGAAAAATCAACTTTTTTCTTAATATTTTCCAAATCTAAGGGCTTCGTAAACAGAGATTTTCAGTCAATTTTTTAATCTAACAGAAAAGTGCGCCTCCCCCTTTTTTCTTCCCTTGAGCACACGCACGTACACGGAGAAATCTATCCATACGTAATGGGCTAGGAATACATTTGATAAATTACAAATGATCTATATCAATTTGTTTTAAAAATAATTCGTATATATTTGTTCAAAGGATATTGAATCTATAAATCTCAATTGCGCGCTATTTATTTGTCATAAAAATCCCCATTCAAGGATATTGATATTCAAGGATTTATTAACGAATCCACGAACATTTTTTAACAATCTTTTACGGTTCTTTCGTTTCATTTATAGAAACAGTAGATTTTCTAAAGAATCATCTATCATGGAATTAATTAATTTGCGTAAATTAACAGAAATTTCGATAGTTTCTGCATGAACTATGATTGCTTTCTAACGCAAGGATAACGAAGGATAACGCAAAGCAATCACAATTAAAAACTTCTTGAAACGAACCGAAAGTGCAGCACTGACAATCAAACTAACAAAAAAGGAGTTTATTTATTATTTAAAAAAGAGAGTCAATGAATCGTAGAGCAAGGAAACATTTTATAAAACCCGAAGTGCATTATACAATTAACAAAAGAACAATTTCGAAAGCTACGACGACGCATTAAAAACGATCGAATTATTTAAACAATATTTTTCCCTTTCAATTTCTCCTTCGTAACTTGGCTGACAGGCTATTAATATCGATTGAGACTTTATTGTACAAACTGTTGAACGGCATCAATCTTGATTTGCACGTGACTTAATAACGATAAATTACTTGAAAACACGGTATGCCTGAATATTTATTTAATTAAACTATTTATCTTCTTATATAGAATGAATCTTTATGAAAACTATTATCAAGCTGATAGATCAGAAGGAACTTCTTGTCTCTTAGCTGGCGAACAATTGTGAAAGCAATCCGAAAGTTTAGTCAATTCAAAGATTTAACGAGACGACGAGCAACCAATTATTGAAAAAGGAGAGGAAAACAAATTCAATTACGTAAAAACGCTATATTCACACATAAATCTATGCTACTATTTTATATTTTTCTACGCCATCCATTCTATTATCCCGTCGCTCTCCCCTCTCTCTCTCTCTCTCTCTCTGCACGTATAATTAAATTCTTAATCGACTTAAACACTTTTATCCCACGCAGTTCTCTTTCACCATGAACTTTCGCACGCAATTTTCAAGATCGTTTAACGAATCCAATTCGCGGCACGGCTGTAAAATGAGAAATTGTAATAAAAGTAGAATTTTAGAGTAACTATTAGTAATATACGAAGACAACTTTTAACACGTTTTAGAACTTTGTGGCTGTCTTTAATTACATTTTTAATTTCAAGAACAATTTACTGATTTTTAATACTTTTAATATTTAATACGCCTGTTTTTAGATTTTTGTAACAACAATATTCTATTTCTATGCCTCGTTTACTTTTTGTACAAGGTAATTGAAGTCTGGCTTCATTTTCTGACTAATTGTATTTGTATAAATATTTGTGATAGGATATACTGCCGATTTTCGTTTCATTTTAAGTAAAGTGGTTACTAAAAGTATCCATAATTATTTAACGCCACGAGAATATTTTTTGTTTGTTAATAATTATTACCAATTAATCGTGTAATCATGAGTGATCTATGATTATAAAAGTATGAAATGCAGAGATCTGTTCACTTAAAAAAAGTCCAAAATCAAATAATCGCGTATTTAAATATTATTACATACTTTTAGTAGTCACTATACTTCGACTATTTAAAGTATCTAGCGCATAGGATCTAGCATAGAGTCACAGGACCAGTAGTCTTCGATATACTTGACAAATTATACACTTAAACGGCATTTATAGATCTTGTAAGATCGATAGATCATAATTGAATATTCTCTATTCTCTAATTATCCTCTCATCGATGTTGGTGCTATGTGTATAGTAACGCTTCCACGCTTTTAATTTAAACATAAAACTTCATACTAAGCAAGTAGAATAAATCGTAGAGCGTGAAGAATCCTGTGTATAGTAGTATATTAGCTAATCTCTCTATTTCGAGTCTCATATTCTTTGCTACTTAAAACCATACTTTGTAATTAAATTAAACAGTCATCATCGAATTTTAATTACTAAATCTATATTTAAAATTATCAATACGTTATCAATATTATGGGATCTGTTAACGAAGAGGACGGTTTCTGCATAAGATGAATTGATCACTAATTTCCTTTCTGCAGGATTGACATTTCTACTTCACTGACTCGATTGAACATTTCGAAACGACCAAAAAATGATCGTCTAAATAGATGATAGTCACCTCTCATTAAAGAAATAATGTCCTAGTTAAAGTAATTTAGAATAGTAACTAAAGATTTCCTATCCTACATTGCTCGTTTATGTGAATAGAATCTTGAATAGAAGATATGAAAATCTATATTATAAAATAGCACTGTGAATACTTATTTGTATATGCTGTATAACGATTAGTCATTACACTTTCTTTTCCCCATTCTTCAAGTTTTCCCATTCGTTTATACATATAAATAATACAAATGCTATATCATGGTTCGATCAGAACTTGTACTACAGTCATTCGAACTGATTATTATTATTAATTTGATGAGGACATGTATGTAATAACTTAAAAAAAAGATTTAACGATTCACGCAATATGTACGGCCTTCTTGTCTCGTAGATTACTCTCTCACGAAACTATAACGTATATTATATAGCACAATTTATAGTTTGCAGACTTACAAAATCTTTGTGTCTCTTACTTAAATAATCCGTGTAATTACCATAATTGTATGTGCATTTATTAGACGATTAAAGCGTATGAAAGGAACGTGGCGAGTACGTACATAGAAAACTGGTGAATCGTTGGAATAATCGTTCTCTTATATCGTCTTCCTGTAAGTATGGAAAGAGATAAAAATCAAGAACGGTTGAGGTGACTTTAACTGAGCCGGTTGAAGTATTTCAATCTCGAGTGTCTCCTTCAGGAAAGAGATATTTGAAGAGACGGTAATTGAAAGATTATCGCGACGAGTCACCCGATATATAATAATTATTGTAAAGTAATAATAATTCTCGTAAGATCTCTGTCTGCTTTGACTGATACGTTAGAAAAGATACTTGTTACAATTACTGTGTGTCGCAATGTTGCATGAATAATTGTATTATAATTAAAGGCGGACGAGTTCTTTGTAAAACATTCTCTGTATAAACTTTTGTCTACGATTGTTCAACAATATATTGTTTAAATTGTTGTATAGGGTACAGACAGTGTTCGATTTTGCAACAACAGTGAAAGGAAAAAAGATGCTTTATAAACATTCCGAGGGATCCGTTGATTAAATGTTTAATTTATTTGGCTAAGACGTTAATAAACACACCACACACGATTATTGTTAAAGAACGGTTTTTTAATAAAAATTATAAATAAACGTTGTTACAGTTGTATGAATGCGGATGGCTGCGTTTGATGACGATGTAAACGTTAACATTCATTTGTACACATAGAAAATTAGAAAACGTTAATAGCGATTATCATGATTTCTCATTGGTATAATTAAGTTTAAGTGTTATATTCTCCGCCCTTTTTAGCACAGAAATTCCTTGAAAATTCTCAGCTTGATAGAGACAGAGAAACTCATGAAAAACCCGGTTTCCGTTCGGAACCTCATTAATTTCGTCACGAGAGAATTAATTATGAATATTCATCGAAATATTTTCGTTTTTCAGAGGTGCCCGGCCACGAAGTGCTGTTTCAAAACAGCACTGGTAGAATAGTAGATTTAGTTAGCGATTAATAAAGCTAATTAAATTCGTGAGACCGGAAAACACGGAACAGAGCCATGGGGAAACAGAACAGCAAATTGAAACCAGAAGTTCTTGAAGACCTCAAGGCGAACACAGAATTCTCAGGTACGAAATACTTTTAATATAGCCATCACGATCTTATTACGTCACTTAACTATATTTATCGTTCTTGTTCAAAGATGCCGAGATCCACGAATGGTACAAAGGATTTTTGAAGGACTGTCCAAGTGGACACCTCAGCGTAGAGGAATTCAAGAAAATCTACGGGAATTTCTTCCCCTATGGTGATGCTTCTAAGGTACAACAACGAGATGCTTGCCAAAAAAAATAAAAAATATTTTAACGCTCCTATCTTAATTTTCACTTTTGGAGAAGTTTAATTCCGTCCCAATTTCATCCCAAGACCTTACTTTAAATTTTATTTAAACATCGTGCAATGTTTGATCGTATTATTATGGTAGAACATCGTGTTTCAAAGTTTGCAGAACACGTGTTCAGAACATTCGACGCTAACGGTGACGGGACAATCGATTTCCGGGAATTTTTATGTGCACTCAGCGTCACGTCTCGCGGCAGAGTGGAACAGAAATTGAAGTGGGCATTCAGCATGTACGATCTAGATGGGAACGGATACATCTCGCGGCAGGAAATGTTGGAAATCGTTACGGTAAGCACGAGATATTACATACACTACAATTTCATTTCTTCAACAAAGAATAACAAATATTTAACGTTAAAATTATTGTTTCGTGTTTGTTCAGGCTATTTACAAGATGGTCGGCTCGGTGATGAAAATGCCGGAGGACGAATCGACGCCGGAGAAGCGGACAGATAAAATCTTCCGTCAGATGGATAAGAACAAGGATGGGAAACTGTCCTTGGACGAGTTTATCGAGGGGGCAAAAAATGATCCGTCTATCGTGCGACTGTTGCAGTGCGATCCTAGTGCACAAGCCCAGTGAGGCCCTGGGCTACCCTCTCATTAAACACGCAAGTATTACCCTCACTATCATCAATTAATCGCCTGGGACCCGGTCCGATATCTCTCTAATTAATAATCATTGCGATCACATGAAATGATTCACTGGGAAACGTATCGGAGTTTCTCCTTCTCTTTTCTTTGTCTTTACACTCTGTTTTCATCATCAAATATTTCATTAAAAACAAGATAATCAAAAGATTCTTTTGTAAACGTATGAATCATCTCGCAGCGGATTATTATTGTAGTTACAAATTTAATTATTTCACTATTTAATCGTTTATTTCGCAGTGTGAATTTTTCTTTCTGTTAAACACCAAGAACTCGGTAAGTTTCTCACTGAAACATCTTCATTGAACACAATCATTATTGAAAATATGGATTGTACAAAAATGTTGAGTTGTGAATTGGACTGGGACCCTTGTAAGTCCAGGACCTCTGGGCCCATGGCGCTTGCGCATACCGCAAGCTAGTCTCAAAGACTAGTCCGGTCGCTCCGTCTCGTATAGGCGGATCGATTTTAAATAAACAATAAAATTTATCAACAACCTTCTCGATTTCGAATGTAGCATTAATACTCGAGAGCTGCGCAAAGGCGAATCAAATCTTGGATGCTCAAAAGAAAAGGAATAACGCTTTGATTCGTGTCAGGGAGTCAATTTTTCGTTCCCTCGCCCTTGTATTCTTTTATTTTCTACGACACTGTAGCTTTTAGACCATTTTCCATTTTATACCTCAAGAGTTTACTCCCTTAACTTATTTATTTAATATCTGAGTGAAATCTAGGGTAGACTCGAGGTATTTTAGTTTGTCTGCAAGTGAACGCAGACTCAGGGCGATGGCCTCTTATATATTTAAATGGACACNCCAACATCTCCGCCCCCTCCCATCCAGTATTTAGACAAATTTTGTAACTGTTTTTTTATGAACGTTACCTAAGGATATTCCGTCAATTGTTAAAAGGAAAAAGACACGAGTAGTGTTAAAACAACAAAAGTCGGACGGGAGATATAAGAGTTGTTCCATGATAAAATATAATAAGTAGAAGATGTTCATTTGTTAAGTTACACTGTTGTAAATAATCCTACATAATTTTTCCCACTAATTTATTCAAGATTCTTCTCTGCTTATCTTATTTCGTCATTCAAACTATTCCCGAGCTATCGATCTTGTCTGTAAAAACTTCTTTTTTCGTTCATCTGTTATTCACGTTAATTAAGGCACGCTTACGATTTTTCGTTTGTACGGTTTCTATTCATTTTATAAATATTTAGCATGAACTATTTGTTAATTGCAACAAATACATGCACAAGGTAATTTTCTAAAGAAAAGCAAAAGCGACAAGCTACGAATCTTTTCATATCTGAAATATCAAATAGTTTAACATCGTGATAAATTATTAAAGGCAACGCTTTCTATTTAAACCGTCATACTATTATTAAAATTAATATTTCGATTTCCAATCACTGATTTAATCGCAATTGATAATTGTTTCTATCGACTTCGCGTCTGACTTCGATTTTAAGGAGATGTATGAGAGCTTGCGGTTGACTCGGGCTACTTGACCGGCGTCTGGCCTCAGCTCATCTTGTTCTACTTAGTAGAATCTTCAGCTGTGCCGCTGTACTCTGCGGTAGCTGCAGACAGGAGTAAGCAGATTCCCGAAATCTTAGACACGCTCTCACTCCTAGCTACAGATACACATACAGCTTGTGCAGTTGTAAGAAGTATCATTGGTAAACAGGATAAATTGTAAAACTAGAGAATGAAGAATTGTTTACTATAATCGCGAACTGTCGCTGCCTTTGATAATTTATTGCAAAGTTAACAATGCTCATAGCTTAAACATCAGGCATGAAAAAGACACTACTTACTGCTCGTGTTTCTCGAACATTTTTTCCTTTCTAAATATGAAATTTGCCTAATTCTTGAATATTATCAAAAACTCAGATTGGCTTTTTAGACGTTTTATATACTCTACTCTCTGTCGTTCTCTGCTTTTATATTTAAACTTTATGTGATTTCAATCTCAATACTTGGCATGAAGATAGTTGACATTTATCGTTTCCGAGACATTTTTAAAAGTATTTCAACGTTCGTTAAAATTAATCTATCTACGTACATATACTAACAAGTACAGTGACAACTATAATAAATTCAATCAAATTTCATTTTCGCAATTATACTATTTGGACACTGTCACTGTATTTATTATAATTTTCGCCTAAGATTTTGATATTCCCAGAATCCTAGCAGATTAAAATTCTTAACTACCTAGAAAGTCTCAGAGAAATCAGCGACGTTTCTAACGAGTATTAACTAAATAACTTACGTCTTCAAGATTTTCTGCATTTATCGAAATCTTCTAAATTTTAGCTCGTCTTACGCTCATTAGAAAATCGATACTCCCAGAGTTTTAATCGATCTTTAATTTCTATATATATACTTTCTCAAAGTCCCAGCACAAAAATTCGCCTTGCGCAGCATCCAGCGGGTAAGCTATTTTTAAAATCGCGTTGTTAAACAATGGTTCTTCGTAACAGATTCGCATAATTTTACATCATCTTAGCAACGTAGTTTTCTCCTTCAGTTTCTTCTTTAGCACAGTTTTAACGTTAATTAATCGTGAAAAAAGACTTGTTTAAATAATATGTACATTCGTTATTATAATTAGCAACGAAACTAAAACGAGTAAGAGCTAAATAACAGATGTTAATGGGGAAAGTAGCTTGAAAGGAAAATCACGCGATTCTAAATCGTCTGTTTTAGTTTTAAAAGTACATGTGTAAATTTTGTCATAAAGTCATTACGTTCTCTCTTTCTTTCAATTCGATCGAGAGCGCAGATAAAGTTAGTCTTAAATTCTCCTCGGATAATCGGACTGAACAATCGCGATTTTCAATTGTTTAACTGCTGTTGGAGATCTGCCGATCGAGATTCAGAGATGTAAACGATATTTTGAAAAAATGAGAAAGTTTAAATGGAAGAAATATATACNTAATATGTACATTCGTTATTATAATTAGCAACGAAACTAAAACGAGTAAGAGCTAAATAACAGATGTTAATGGGGAAAGTAGCTTGAAAGGAAAATCACGCGATTCTAAATCGTCTGTTTTAGTTTTAAAAGTACATGTGTAAATTTTGTCATAAAGTCATTACGTTCTCTCTTTCTTTCAATTCGATCGAGAGCGCAGATAAAGTTAGTCTTAAATTCTCCTCGGATAATCGGACTGAACAATCGCGATTTTCAATTGTTTAACTGCTGTTGGAGATCTGCCGATCGAGATTCAGAGATGTAAACGATATTTTGAAAAAATGAGAAAGTTTAAATGGAAGAAATATATACATATATCTATATAT